CCTGCTCTGTGAAGGTTGATTTCTCACTGGGAGGCATGACCCTATGTAAAGTTGGATGATCATCAACTCACCCGAGTGCCAGAAACACTCATCTGTCAGCAGGCACTGGCCAATTAAGGCAGACAATGGCAGCATTTCTGAGAAGACAAATGTTGAGCTCAGCTGCATCTTTAAACTATCTCAATGTGGAAACAGACGTGCAATGGAAGATTTGCTTATGAGAAGGTCACGCACCCGAATCAAATGGCCCGACACAGGCTCAAAGACATTTCACATTAGAAACCAAAGCGGAGCTTACACAGAACAATGTGGCAACCAGAGACCGTGAAATGTCAGTGAAATTCACCGACTTCTAGCAATGGCAGGAGAAATAACCATTAGCAACATGAAGTTAAACTTTGAGCTAAAGAATTGAAGCGACTACCAACAGGGACAGCTATACGAGGGTGAGGAATTCATTACACGGGTAACTATGCAACCAGAGCCTGCAGCGTCCAGCGACCAAATGTCAGCTACAAATCAATGAGCAAAACACTTTACATATGGAAGAGCTGAAGGCTGCCCCCTGAATTCACTGTCCTGGTTACACAGCTGTAACACTTTACTTGAATTATAGATGTCAAATAATTTCATTAGAATTGAATTAAAGAATTGCCCATACCTAACTTTTACTCAAACTTGCATCCTTTCTCGCTGTGTAACACTTCCTGTGTCACGTCATTACTTTCAAAGAAATACAAACTTCTTAGGGAGTGCTGAGCCAAGACACCAGGAGCTAGATGGCCAGCCTGCTAACAAAGGTTCCTACTGATGTTCTCATGCAAAGTAACCAGTGCTCTGTGACGCCGTGACACACGGGACCTGTCTTGAGGCTGTGTTACACTGCAGGCCTGCTCTGGTGAAGCGAGTATATATCATCTGTCCCTTTGTGTCAACATCCTACTTGGTAGCAGTCCAAGCATTTCCAGAGGCATGACCACGTCTTCACCTCAGGGCTTGCCAATGGCTCAAACGGTCTGCAAATTTAACGGTGGCGAAAGCTAAGACCTGGTGATACGTCGCCACCTATATGACTCCCAGAGGTGCCTTACAAACAGAACAGGCAAAGCAATGACTGAACTGAAAGTACCAGCTTTGACTGGCACTTGCACCTGCTGTGCGTTCAGGGACAGCGAGTGGTTATGCTGGCCAGGCTTCCTTGGGGCCGTCCAGGAGGCTACATGTGCTGATGGCAGCTGAACAAAAGGCTGCGCTCCTGTCATGTAGAGTGGGCTGCTTCAGAAGAGTCAGCAGGCAAAGCTTATTGCAGCTTTCCAGCACATCTCTGACTAACTACCTCACCATCTGCATTTACATATTTATGCAAAGTGATCCGGTATTAGCAAATGGTTTATAACAGATAAGCCACTAAGCTTTCATTGGGTTTAAAAGTTTGCTACTCTATTTGGGACCAACAATGGAAGAAGTCCAAAGCAGGGAAACCTAACCGACCAGTCTCATTTGTGCAAGTTTACTTTTTGCAAGGACAGTTTGTTGTACCAATGTCTCCTTTGCCCTTTGGCCATTGCACTAGCACATTTCCAGAGTAATGGGTGAGATTCAATTGTTTTTTTTTCCCTGATCAGCAAACAATACCTGAGTAAGTGATGTTTAGTTAGCTGCTGCCTGGTGAGAGAGATATGAATATAATCTAAGAAGTGACATTTTTCTAACTTCCTGCTTCTGTGTTGTCACAGATGCAAAACACGTGTCAGGTTTTGACCCTGCAAGCACCATTTCCACACTGCCTCCCTGGGATCTCTGCTGCTCTTTGTCTGGTATGAATCTTAAGCAGCAGCAGCTGGCTGGGGCTCTTCATAGCATGCAAGTGTTTCTCCTGCCATAGTAACACATCTTATCCCAGGACCAGGAGCACTAAAGTTCCAGCCAAAATTAGTCAAGCAGAGGATGGTAGGAATTCCATATGTTTGGCATTGCAAATTTAAATTGGAGCTGAGAACAATGCCATATCAGGTACTGATCTAATAGATCCAACCATAATGATAATAATTTACATGAGTATTTACCACAGCCTACTTCAAACATGCAAAGATGTGGACATTTAACTCACTGCCATTGAAAGAAACCAAGACGTATACAAAAAAAAGAAAAAGTACAGTTTGTATATAGGCTTTAAAGCTTGGATCAATAAAAGGTGACACGAGCAAACAAAAGCTTATCAGTGACATCATCAAAGCGGTTCCTTAAAGTCTGACATCTCATCCCACCTTGAACCAGTTCTGCAGTATTTAATGTGCACTGGTCCTGGCCTTAAATACTGCGCATAACATGTACAGGCCTGCTTCTATTGCTTCATCTTACATCAAAGACTGCTGCTGCTAATTTCCCAGGTGTTTTTCCTCATATTTCTATGTTACTAATTCAGCACATGGAAGTACTGAGACACTAAAATGTTATTTACTAATTAATTAAATAAATTATACATGTAATTACTATTTATTTTACATATAAAAATTATTCTAAAAGTTATTCTATATTATTCTTTTTAACCTGCTTTGTCTAGTTCATTTATTTGTGTGGTTTATATTATTTCCCCCTCATTTATTCTACAGTAATGCTATTTTTAAAACTTCTTACAGCTTTGTTATCTGTTTTTAATTATTATTATTTTTCTCTTTATTAGCATTTATGCTTGCTCCGTCTTAAAGGGCTCATCAGTCTTCAATGAAGCATTTTGAACTGCACTAACAGATTCCCAGCTGTGAGTGCGGTTTAGGTAAACAAGGTTGACCGCCGCACGTTAAGGCAGCTTTGTTACACATGATTTATTCAGACACTTCCATGCATACTCCTATCAACCCAAGCTCAACCAGTGCACTGCTTAGTTTGAATGAAACCCCTGTGACCCTCCAGGACTACATCAGAGGGTTGAGTTTTTTGAAGTCCGCTACTCCGGCTGGCAGGATGAAACCATTTCTCTCAGCCTTGCTGAAAAGTCAGAAGCCTCTGCCAAAAGACAGTCCCTCAGTGACATCGGACGATTGCCAGACCACATTAAATGCCACATACTATCCATGGTGTCTGGAATCTCAGTGGAGGGTGCTGGTGCTGATGGGCAGGGTCGGTGTGCATTGAGCGTGATAGGGCGGGATGGTTATTCACGAAGCACTTCCCTATAAGGTCATCTCTCTCTAGCACAATAGGAGCAGATGAGAGATCCTCCCCCTGCACTCCCCTCCACAAGCCCAGACTCCACAATTTCACAGGCAACGGGGAACAAACACACCGAGCTCTGCCGCTCTGAGAAAAGGCAAACATCCAAATCTGCAAACCCTTAAGGGGCACCTATTACGCTCATTTCCAGCTCCATATTTTCTATTCTTGGACTCTTTCAGAGTAGCTTTGCATGACTCACATTCAAAATGTATTTATTTATATAGCTCATACTGGAGCTTGGTTGAGACTCTCAGCTCATCCTGTCTGAAACCAGTTGTTTAAGACCCCCCTCCCCTCACGAACACAAGCTTTGTACGCCTGGTGGATTGGGCTTCTGTGCTTACAGCTAGAGCTGTGTACCTGAGCTCTCCATATCTTAATATGGATGGATGAGAAATATCTTTACATATTCACCTCACTGATGTCATAATAGAGGCAAAAGCAGAAAAAAGGTTTCAATTGAGTGTTCAGAGCAGCAAGTAAACTGACAGCTACATGCAAAGGACTTCAGTTCAGTGGACTTCACGTTATCTGACAATGTGATTTTTTAGGGATTAGTTAGGTTGAGCGATGTCAGCATTTGCTCGTTTTAAAACCGCTTCATATTTATGCTATAGTAAATGTCTGATTAATAAAATCAATCACAAAAATCTACTTTTGATAAACGTCTGAAAAATGCATTTAACAGAACGTAATCATCTCCACTGTATGTTCAGTAAGAGTTCATCTGTGAGGCTGATAAGCGAGTAGGAGGCAGCGTTTAAACACACAGCGGCAGCAGCCTCACAGAGCCGTGCAGTTTGGCTGCTGGTTATTCTTCTCACGGCTGAGGCAGCCACAGAGGTTTCATCTCTGTGTCCTCTATCGCAGCTCGGCTAAGCAGCCTCCCAGCCAGCATCTGCGTCATCACAATCCTCCTCTGCATGGCAAAGGTCACTTTGGAGCTTCAGGAAAATATTATTCATTAAAAAAGGGAGCCTGACAGGAACCATTGTAAAGGATAGTTGGAGGATTAAGCGAGTAAGTAGAGCTGATGAGCAACTCCTGACTGTGTGATAAAGCATCCAAATCGTCTCCCTGCTGGGTTGCGCTCCAGCTGCTGACAGCAAAGCCTCCAGCTACCTTCATCAAGAGTTTTTAAATAACTAGGTCTCTAATATGCGAGAGCATCTGACTCACAAGTTTCTGTTTTAACCAGAGCCAAAAATTTAACTCAACTTCTTATGAACCTAAATTAACATGTCATGATTAGCACTGTCAAGAAAGTAATTTACATATAGTATAGAAACATATCCCAACTAGAAGGATATGCGATGTCAAAATGCAGATCACTCCTACTTTCTGTGCTTTGTCAAGGTCACTCAGGAGTCCCGCTGAACACTGTCCCACGTCACCTGCTGTAGCAATGTTCCCCCCCGAGCAGGAGGGGAGGGGAAGAGGCTGACACCTGTCATCTTCACGACTGTCACTGCCTCTATAAATACAGCATTCTATAATCCATAATGAAAGCTAAAAATAAAACCCACACGATGCACCAAAACGCTAAGCATCACTTGAGGGGTTTAGGTTCAAACAGAGTATCAGGACAGCGTTTGAAGGACTCATTACTCCGTTCACGCGTTCCCGTTCATCCCTCTGCAGTATTACATACTGCCGTAGGGGAAACGGCACTATTAAAACCAAAGCCTTACATCCTGAAGATTTCAGCTGCTGAAATGCGCTGACTGCAGGGTGGGAAAGTGTTGAGTTGGGATGACACTTTAGAAGCTTTGTAAGCTCACACGCACAGTTACAGTAAGTGGGCCTTAACAGCATGTGTGCGCAGCCCTTTGAGACAATGGGTTAATAGGAAAATCTCAAAATACATCAGCCTTACAGGGTGAGTCACCGTGCTGCTGCAGTGGCACTTGGGGATGGGGGAGGTCTGAGCATGTGCTAAATAATAAATGTCCATACCTGGACTCATATGACCTGACCATTACCTGAAGCAGAGCCAAACACAGACGAGGTGCTATCTTATGAAAACACCAGATGTCTCTGATATTTTAAAAAAAGCCATAAGGAAAAATAGTCTCTTTCAGAGTGAAACCGTGGCATTAAATTGCCAATTTTCTGTGAATTTCAAGGTTTATTTCTATCATGTTCATGTGATGCCCTGATGCTTCTTTTATGAGAGAAAGGTCTGTCAAAGCCAAATCTACTTTTTCCTAACAACGCGTATAAAAGCATTACGGATGCAGGTCAACTTACCAGCAACCTCCACTATGTCACCAGGCACGATGTCTCTGGCCTTGATCCTCTGCACAGTTTTCCTGTCCTGTCGGTACACTTTCCCCATCTCAGGTTCATACTCTTTAAGCGCCTCAATGGCGTCTTCAGCATTGCGCTCCTGGCGAGAAGAACATGAGATTCAGGGCAAATATTTCTGAGTTGCTGTGCAGCAAACTATCACGATTGCAGAAAGCTGGACGCTTCCTTTGGAGGGGCACTGACTGTTCTCGCCGGATGTGCGTGCATCTCTCCTCGGGTTGTGTTTGGGGACATTTAGGTGTTAAGTGTATTAAATTTTCTCATTTTCCAATCTTACTCTTCACCAGCAAGAAAAACATCACTCAAGCCCACACAGTTTGAAAATAAATAAATAACTAAAGAAAGGCTTCTGATGAAAACCGGCAGCCTGTTCCTTTTGAATAGGAAGTCTTCTTTGAGACAAAAATAACTTTCAGTGCAGTGTTTTTCTGCATTGCCTGTGAAGTTTAATGGTAAAACCTTCAACTCACAGCGGGGCTGTAATGCAGATACAAGGAATGTTTAATTAAACATGCAGTACTGTTACGTAGATTTCAGTACTCGAGCCTCTGAAGGAGATCGTGAACCCAGTTTGAGCTTGTTTTTTCATTTTGGATGATCAGATCATGTTGCACTGGACGCAGGATCAAACTGATAGAGGTTATTAGTAAACTGATAAGGGATATTTATTTGAAGTCTGTCACATTGGCGCCATCTGATTTAGCTCGGCTTTATTAGGATTTTTTCCCTTACACTGACACGCCTTCAGTACTAATATAACTGTAGTTTAACACATTGCTTTGAAATGCTAAAAATACCACATTCATATTCATGAAATTTGATTTTTTTTCAACAAAAATGCATTAAACCCTGATGATATTCAGACATAGTGCTCAAACTGTCCAAAAACAGAATTAAGTACGAATAAAAATGCAAAGCCGTGATTCGCTATGCTCTCACCTGCCACACGCCGACGATAGCGTTTGCTATAAGAATGAGTAGAATTACAAAAGGCTCCACAAATGCGGTGATAGTTTCCTCTCCCTCCTCAAACCAGGCCAGGACCTGAAAGAAGTCAAATAAACCATCAGTATTTATTAGACATGTCACAGAAAAGAGAGCTCTCTGCCTCGTGCTTGCATATAGCACAGCTCCATCTGTCCAGAATCAACCTTACATCATCATCATCATCATCCTATGACCAGAAATGTGTTTTGTAAGGTCACCTTAGACCAAATACAATCTTGAGTTGAAGTGAGCTTTTGTGTCAGTTTTTCGGGGAAAAACAAAAACAAAACTCTGCTCTCATCCAAGAGAAGTCAAGTGTCTCTGAGTACGACTGTTACCACTGTGGCTTCACAAAAAGGGGACAAAATCCAGAAAGAACTAACCAC